ATTGTGAGTGCTTGCAAGGCGGAATTTTGTAATCTCATTCCCTTAGTCACACCCACTTTACCAAGTTAAATAATACTACGTAGATTTTATTTATAAATGGACTCCTTTTTCCTATTTAACCTTGAAAAAAAATACTATGGCAGATTGCAAATCAGGAAAGTAGCCCCCCACTCATGGTCAGTCAAAGGATATGACTCACATCTGCCATCGTTTGACTCTTTTTCATTACGCCGTCATTGCACATCCTAGTTCGTTACTAATTGCTATCCTTTTCAACAAGTACTCTTTCCCCACAAGAGTGATGTATGCTTTAAAGAGGCCCTCTGACATATTTGGAGATGAGGTAGAATGTGCGTTTTTGGTGTGTTGGGTCAAAGTGTCGAAAGCGTGCTAGTCGTGGTTTTGGTATGAGGGCATGCGCATTAAAGCATACGACTGCCAGTAAACCATCGTGGTCAGCTCAGGAAATCACTTTTTTTTCCACCCATACAAGGAAATGTTCAGTACAAAGCCTCTCCAGTTGCCAATAACTTCATTTCCTCATGTCAGCTTTCAGAAAGCTGGTGCAGAGCAGGAATGTGTGAGTGTGTGCCAGGCTGAAAATACAGGTGGAGATCTCTTCAGGAAAGACATTGCTAACACTTTTCGATGGCCCGATGGCATCTTAACGGTCCGTAGGTGCTGACAGGTTGCGCTCATGCGTCCAGCACAAACAGCTGCCCGATAACTTTCTTAAACATGCCGTCATCTGGACACAACAACAAATGGAGTGAAACCCTATTTATTGTGCTGCAAAGTCACAACCGAACCATATGCAATTGATGGAATAAGACATGATATGGGGAAACCATAGTATTTTTTTTACAGGATGTTCTAATAGGTTAAGCATGCTTGCTATAAGCTGTTTGTCACTCTCAGTTGAAGTTGACTGTAAAACTGATACAAAACGGCATTATTAACACTAAAATGTTCAGCCAAATTGTACATTAAAACAAGTATGCTTGCTGAATACGAACGTACAGTGCAACATGCCGCTGAAATGCTAACGGATATTAGCACAGACGTTACGGTAATTCAACACCTTCAAACCGCTACTTCCCATTTCCACACACAGTATTTCTCCAGCTTAGTAGGCGACCTTCTCTGCTTCTTCTTCTACTGTTTTTCATTACACTTCATCTACATCCAGTAGAGCTCAGGACTGCTGAGCATCAGTGTCGGCGCAGGCAATGTGCCCCCTCTGTGCAACATAAGCGTGGGTGGAAAAGATGAACCGCATTATAATAGGGGGGTTTCTGCAAAGTAACTTGGTTAACGAGTTCACAACTTTCCTCTGAGATGAGCTTGACCATCCAGGAACACTGATCGTTTTCAACGAGAAATCCCACAATGTAAACATAAAATGCAACGTTGTGTTTTAAAGGAGAGGGCAGATCTGGAAAATAAGCACGTCAGTGATGATGAGGACATTGCCCAAGAATGTTCTCAACCTGTTGATATCATCACCAGCGCAACAGTTAAGCCAGCCAGATGGCTTAAAGATAAATGGCAAGCCCTGCATAGCAAATAAAGAAGCAGAGGGTAATCGTGCTGTGTCATGTTTGCGGCTACTGTCCATGTCTTTCAATCGCAGCCCTATTTTACTTCCATAATGCACGGATTTATTTTGGATTAGACGTATAATATACTGCACATGTTTGTCAAGCATTGAGACTTGTGAAATAGAGTGAATTTCAGTATTTTAAAAGTTTGATTGTTTCAACTGACTTTGAACATCACAACATAAAACACAAGAACAATTCAGCAGTCCATCGTCACAGATACCAACCACAATCAATGCATCGGACACCGAAAGGCCTAGTGGGAGTAGAAATGTTGCGTCGATGTAGACAGCATAGCTGCCTCACAGTCATGAAGTTCTAGATGTGAATTTCATATGCAGCCTTCTTGTGTCGAGTTTGCATGTTCTCCCTGTGCTTGCGTGGGTTTTCTCAGGGTACTTTGGCTTCCTCCCACATTCCAAAAACATGAGGTTAGGCTCAACCAACACTCAAAATTTTGCGTCGGTGTAAATGCGACTGTGAATGATTGTTGATGATATGATATGTGGCCTTCAATTAACTGGCAGCCACATGCCGGCTTCGGTAGGCTGCAGCTCACCCGTGAACTTAATAAGCAGTATCGAAATTGGATGAATGGAATTGCCCAGTACGTGGTGTCATGTGCAATGTTAGCACATCACGCCAGACCTCAGCCTACTTCAATATCGAGCTTCAAGTACAGTAGGAATGAAGGTTAAGGGTGTCTGGTTTGTTATTCATAGTAGTTGTCAATCATGTTTACTCTTACATATTCACAAAATGTATATTGTCCATAACAAGTAATGAGCGGGCCAAATACACAAGTATTTGACTTTCAATGTGTTGACAGGTAGTGTTTTTGAATGTGGTTTCCCTGTTACTTTTAAACGTCACATTAAAAGGAGACATATTGTGCAATTTTGTCCACATTTTAGAACAGTTCCTCAGTATCTTCACAAAGGGTCTCTGACGTCACACCTTGGTCATAATCACTCTGTTTTGGCAGGGTCACGACTGTCTCATGCTAAGGCCAAGTTTATTTTATTTCATTGCCATGAAGACCGGGGCAGGGTTAAGGCAAAAACGAGGAAGTTGGCAACTTTTCCGACTCTTCTCTGAACTATTTTTTAAAAATGCTGCTCGCAACAAATCTGGTGACTTTTTGACTTTTGTCATAGGTTGGACACTTCTGAAGAGCCAAATTGTGACATCCCAATTGGCAAAATTCCAATTCCATACAAAATCCAATTTGAACACAAAAACTGAAAAGTGAAATTTCCATAAAATCTCTCCTGATGAACTGAATTGTATAGATTTTAGATTTCATTATTTATGATGAGCATTTAGAAGAATGGGGATGGCATATACTGTACACTTATTTAATCACACCCGACATTCAACACTCAACTTCAAGCCAGATTTTTTTTTTTCCTCAACAAAACTAGAAGATGCAGACAGCCATGAAATTGGCTCGCTGCTTTCAATTCCCCACAGAGGAACAAAGGTGGCCAGTCGCCATCTGTGTACCGTTCATCTCTGCGCTGAGATCATGTTTTAAGAAACATCTGTTGCTGGTTAGCACGCCGTTGTCATTCTGGCTCCCACACCTCTGCTGCTCCTGCATCAGTCGGCATGCGATGAGGTCATCGTTCAATAACAGACCCTCAATCAATCAAGGGGAAGTATTTGCCGACATTCCCGTACATCCGCTATCACGCGGGTGTCAAACTCAAACCCGCGGGCCAGATCCGGCCCACCTCGACGTCAACCCCCATCATCAAAACTCCCAGACTCAACCCTGACATCATGCAACATCCGACCCATTTCCAACCTCCCCTTTCTGTCCAAAATCATAGAACATATCATCACATCCCAAATCGAAGCCCACCTTGACAATAATTGAGCAATTTCATTCTGGTTCCCCCACACATCACAGCACTGAAACCGCCCTCCTTAAAATCACCAATGACCTCCTCCTCTCCTCCAACTCTGGCCTACTCTCCATCCTCATCCTCCTTGACCTTACTGCCGCCTTCGACACCATCAACCACACCATCCTACTCTCTCTCCTCCCATCCCTCAACATCACAGTCAATGTCCTCACCTGGCTTCACTCATATCTCACAGACAGGAAACAATTCATCCTCATCAACAACTACTCCCTCCTCCACTGCCCCACTGTCCCAAGGTGTCCCCCAAGGCTCTGTGCTTTGTCCTCTTCTCTTCATCCTCTACCTTCTCCCCTTTGGCCAAATCATTTGTCATTATGGTTTCTGCTTCCACTGTTACGCTGATGACATTCAACTGGACATCTCCGCCAAATCCAACCCACTCCACCCTGTCTAACTGTCTTTCTGATAGTAAATCCTGGATGCAAACAAACTTTCTCACACTCAACTGCACAAAATCTCACCTGTTAATCATCGGTCCAAACTCCCTCATCCAAAGAGTCTCCTCCAACTTTAATCTCACTATCGACAACTCCACCCTGTCTCCTTCCTTTCACTGTTACAACCTCTCTCTTGTTTTTATTATTATTATTATTAAATGTGACCCGCAAATGCTTGCAACAATTTTTCCTTGACATGGAGTTTCATGAAGTTAATATGGGGTACTATGGGAATACTGTACTCTCAATTTGAAACTCTCCAAGGGGAATTATGGGAATTAACGGCAGGTGAGGGTAATTTAATAGAAGGGTATCATATTCAAAAATAGATATAAACATTTTATGTCATAATTTGACAACCATGTCATAAAATGACAACCATGTAAAATAGATAATTTTCCCTACCGACTTGCATTACTTGGATTATTTGTGTGACAGTGCCTTGATTCTTCAATTTTCTTGCTAAGTTCCCTGAAGTGTTTGAATCTGAAGTTGGCTCATACAAAGTCATTAAGATTTTGACTTGCAACCAGAGTAAGTCAAAAGTAAGTGAAAACCCTTCCACAGTTTGGCTTTAGCCACAGGTGCTTTGACTCAGGCGGCAGGTAAAAGAGCTCCCCTGGAAACTTGGCCGGGTTTTCACTTTCTGGACTTGGATTTGCTACCTTTGCTCGCAACATAAAATTAGTGACTGCACTTGTGAAGGTACCGCTGTGCTCGCATGAAATCTAGTTGTCATAGTTAGGATTATGCTAAAATATAGTCCAACTATTTAGTTCATTTGTTTGTAGTTCGGATTTGAAATATATGTTTTGTGACACCAGTCGTGGAATTTATTTGACATACCTCATATACAATATGTCCCAAAAATATGCACTGATTTTCATGTGGTGTTATGACTTCGATTGGGTGTTTACTGTGACCATGAATTATCACTAAACTCAAACGGGTGATATTTCCCATGAAATAGAGAGCCATGGAGGTTGGGTAAACTCTGTGATGGCGTCGGTGTTGCGGTCCTGCGCACTGACCTCTCACGCTCCTGCTCCAGCAGGTTGGTAAACTCGTCGCTCTTCTTCACAAAGTCGCCATGGTTGCGCTTCTCATCCGCCATTTTGTACAGGGCCTGCTTGTGGGCCTGCTCTACCATCAGCAGCTGCTCCAGCATGCGGCGGTACGTCTCCCTCTGCTTTTCCACCAGCTTGTCCAGCTGCAAGACAGTTGCAGGACACATGCACCGTGAATTTTGCAAATACAGTAAATCAACAACAGCCAGCTGTATAATGTAACATGAGTACGAATACTTCCCTACTTCATCATTTTTCAAAAATACTTTACTTCTAATATGGAAGAAACTTTAATATTAGAAAATAATTGTTGGTACTTCAGTAAAACAAATATCAGGTCCTTTCAGACTTCTGCTCAAGGAATGTTCTACACGATGTCTTCTACGCCACTCTAGAAGATATTTTCTTTGTGGATACTTTTACCCGATTACAGTATTGCTCTCAGGTATTTATACAAGACTGCTGGTACCTCCACCATGGGCCGTTCATAGATGTCTTCCTGTAAGCCGTCAACTTTGCCTTGGATGGCATCCCGCTGCAGAGCCTGCAGGACTTTGGGCGGCGTGACAAAGCCGTATTTGGCTTCCAGAAGGGCCAAATCGATTTTTTCTGCCTTCAGCACAGTAATCACCTCATCTCTGGCCTGCGGAGTGAATAATGTCCACTGGTTTTTGTTGATGTTTTTGAGAAAAACTGTCTTTCTGGACTTGTGCCCTGACCTGCAGTTCTCCCTCCAGCAAGCTCAACAGGAAGACCAGGTCATCACGCGAAAGGTCTCTCGCCTTCTCCTTACGGGGCCCCTTTGCAGCACTACTGCCGCCATTCTTGGTGGTCTGGTGGTTCCACTGGATGGTGCCAGTGTCATCTGGCGGCTCACGGTGGCGACTGCGACGCTCTGGCCGCCCAGAGGGTTCTTCTTTGGCCAGCTTGACCTTGGTGACGTCCTCCAGGCTGCTGCTACGGGAGCGCATGTTGCTACCTTGAAAGGACAGCGTTGGGTTATTGCAAAGTACACTTAGATGTGCACACGCGTGTACAGTGGCTCGTAGAGGTAAGTACACCCTTCACCTTTTTGTAAATATTTTGATTCTCTCATTTCTGAAGACATGACACTTTTCTCGAATGTAATCATCATACAACTTGTGTGACAGTGTCAATTTACCCAATTCCTTCAAAATAACTCATCTCACAGCAATTCATGTCTGAACTTGGCAACAAAAATGAGTACACCCTTAATTGAAAATGTCTGAATTCTGCCTAAAGTGTCAACACATTGTTTGGCCACCATTCTTTTCCAGCACTGCCGTGACCCTTTGGCACAAAGTTCACCAGAGTTGTACAGGTCCCCACTGGAATCCTCTACCACTCCTCGATGACATTTTGGCGTCTAGATTATCGATAGATATTTATAATGGGGCATGTCTGTTTGTGTTTTCCTTTATTTTTGTTTCTATTTATTGCTACTACATTGAATAATGGATCTACATGTCACGCTCATCCGTACAGTTCATTTGAACATATGTAAAAAGGAGCGTTTTTTTTTTTTTTTTTTATTGTTCTCATTTGGATATGTCCTGATACACATTTGTAAACAGCCTATTTGTGTATTTGCATGAGAATATGATTTTTCGTCATTTTTGGAGAACAAGGGGTAGGATGAGACTCAGCGCAAAAAAAAAAGAGGAAAAAAAAAAAGCAAAGTGTAATTGTCTAAAGACCTCAGACAGTGGACGAAAGCAACAAAATCACCGGTGTGAAGTTTGTATGGGTGGCCTTGTGTTTGTGCATTCTCTGTCTTGCTGTCATAGCCTTACAAGATATTATTAGCCTCACAGCAGAATGGAGTCGTCATCTAATCCAAAAATGGAAAAATGTTTCACATTACGAACTACATCCAGAACTTTCTTGGATCTCCTCCCTGAAAGTTGCTGTCCAACCTTTACAGCCAATCACTTTTCCCTTTTGTTTTTTTGTTTGATGTGATTGGGCCCCTGTGGTTGGGGAAAAGAGCCACTTCAGCTAAACAAGACTTTTTGGGATCAGAAGAATCATCATCTGCTTGGCGCTGATGTCCGCTATGTGACCGGGATGCTCAGAGGCTCACTGATTGTGATGAACCCAGCTATGATAAATGGATAGAACAAGTTAATGAACTGTAACCACACAATTTATAACATTTTTTTAGTAGAAACCAACCATATCTCAAGGATGCCAGAACCATTGCATCATCTTTTATAGGGGCTTTTATCTGAGTTCAGTCTTAAGAAGAGATTTGCATCGGCCTCAGAGGGATTAGAAAACCATTAGTAGGCAATGAATCATCCCATTTGCTAAAGTAAGAGATTTATTTCGATCTATATTTCACAGAAAGTACTTTTATTCTACGCAGATTTTCTGATGAATGGACTCTCACCACTTGTTGAACTTGCCAGATAAGTAGAGCGGCATTTTGTTGGTTACTGGGCCGATGCGTGAGAACCTCTGATAGCCTGTGAGTGAGAGCAGAGGCTGGCTGATTGCATTGTACACAGTGGAGGTGAGACGCCACATGATTGTGAGCTGAGGTAATTCCCTCTTAGTCAGGGACAGACTCCACATGCACTCAGGCAGAACACCGAGCTGCCGATAGAGCGGGTTAGTGCAACAGATCCAAAGGTCACAGACGTGTACAGCAGCTCGGCATGTGCAAGTGTCACATATCTGCCAAAACTGTCAGAGGGATCACAAATATTTCACATAGTCAAAAGGTAAAAAGGGTCACACCAGGGACACAAAAGTTGATTCATGTTGAATTTAACAAAAGGAACAAGAACATTAGTAGTAGGTCCAACAGCACATAGTTAAGTTAAGAGAAAAAATATACAGGAATTGTTTGATCAGGTATGCGTGTTGACGTCAAGGAGTATAATTATTCATTTCAATAGTTGTGAATTTGGAATTGTTGGTAGCGACAAGGTGGGCGACTGGTTAGAATGTCTGCCTCACTGTGCAGGGGTCATGTGCTCAATTCCGGGCTGCGGCCTTCCTGTATGGGGTTTGTATGTTCTCCCCCTGCCTGTGTGGGTTTGCTCCGGGTACTCCGGATTCCCCCCACATTTTAAAAACATGCATGATAGGTTGATTGATTACTTGAAAATTTTCTAAGGTGTGATAGTGAATGCGGATGGTTGTTAGGCTGCAGCACGCCCGCGACCCCTGTGAGGATAAGCGGCTCAGATAATGGGTGGATGCATTAATTGCTGGTGATAATTTGTTTTATGAAATAATTCCTAGGCAAGAAAAAGTAGACAGGAGACCCAGCCTATAACCCTCTTAAAAAAAAAAAAAAAACATAATTTAAGCTACAACAACTTTAAAATATAAATTCCTGACATTTATTATAACAATGTTAGCGAGCACAGCAAAGCAATTAAGTTGTTTGTGCCAAAACAATGTGCTGGGTTGTTTTTACTGAGACCTAACTTGGGCAGCCAATACAAGGGATAGTATAGCTCTGTAAATGCATCTTTTTTGTTTTGAAATACGAGAAAACCAATTCTTACCACAGCAAAACAGAAAGTTTTTATTGAATTGCCCAATATAAAAGTTTGTTGCAGTCAAATCTTGATTGCACCCAATGTTTATTTATTTATTTTTTACAGTGTAGCTTTTAAACTCTTTCGGCACTCATAACAGTATCTGCGGCCAGAAGTCGCTGGAAACTTTTGGCAGTTTGGACGCTTTTCTTTCCCATGACCACTTAAGTTTCCGTGGTTGGATAGCTGGTCAAAAAGTACGATGTGGCAAGCCCAAGAGCCTTGGATATGCTGTCTTCAGACTTTTGGACTCTTAAAAGTCGTCTTTATAGTGACCACTTCACATTGCAAGACTTAAAAAAAAATGCCTTGACTTTACATTTGCCCGTTAAAGTCACCAGGGTGAAAGGTGAGGAAGCAGGTGTGCCGCAAAGAAAATAAACCTCGCCCCCATGTATGGAGGACACACACACACACACACACACACACACACACACACACACACACACACACACACACACACACACACACACACACACACGCATTACTGAGTACATTCCTACAGCCTTACATCACACCCTGACGTGATTGAGGGCAAGAGAATCAAGATCAAATACAAGCAGGGAGAGAGGGGAGGAGCAGATGGAGTGAGTGACTTTTGCTAAGAAGGAGCAGATCTACTACTTGTCTGCCTTCTGGACACAAAGTGGGCTCAATATCAACCACTCAATTCAGGAGCAACAGTCTCCTCTTTTTGCACAAAGAGCATACGTTGGCAATTTACTTATTCAGCGAATTTTATTTGCATTACAGCCCAGTGTTTTCATAATCTCCCTTCATAGAGAATGCTTGTGCTTGTAAAATACCCACAGGAAATTAACAGTATTTTTTTTAAGTCCAACTAATAGCCCTGTAATAACAGCACCCGCTTCGGTGGTTTTAATCACGGAGCCAAAAAAAGGAGTGCAGTGTTTGCAAACAGGGCGGATGGTTGTCATAGCAACAGGTGGTGTCATAAAAGCTTTTGGGATGCTTCCTGCCATCAAAAGCGAGCACATAAAAAAATGGGCAATTTCATGAAGTTGCCTCAAGCACAGGCGAACTCCCAAAACACTGGGTGTGGGGGAAGATGATCAGGTATTGTTCGAGGTGAGTCACGGATGATGATACAGAGGTTTAAGAGGCATACGTTATGGGAAAGTGACTTTTAAATTCCTCGTATGCAAATGGCGGGGTCTCTGGAGTGCCTGGCCACTCACCCCAAGTCTGGTATTATTTAACCAAGTAAAGCTTCCCTGATGTTGATTTCCAAAAATCTGTGAGCGAGCCATTCTGATTCTTCGGGTGATTGTCTTGTAACAATACCATCCCAACTGAGTTTTTCCGACCTTGATTTGCTGTGTTTCACTTGAGTAGACTTTTCAATTAGCTGTACTTGAATATCCATTTTTTTTCAAAATGTAAAAATTTTCCCTACATTTGTGTGTAGTTGCTATTTCTTATTTTTTCCAAAAAGACTCAGTTTACTTGAACAAGAACAGTATTTTTTTAAGTACTTAATGTAAGTTTCAGACTCACGGACTTTTGATTTGCATTTACAGCAGCGTCACATCAACTGTTTGAGCATGATAAGCAAGCAGTAGAGGGTTTGCCATGCCTCTCATTGAGTAAATTAAGAGTTATGTTCCTCTGGCTCGTCAAGTCCTGTTTGTAATTTTGCCTTTCAGGATGAAACATCTTTCGAATGATTTTACAGCTGCTTCCAAAACATTGAATGTAGCAGCATGAAATACGACATCTTTAACCATTGGCCTGTTTGAACCTCTCTGGTGTCAAGGTTGCAAACAAGCCCCAGAAGTTTACCCTCCACAACTGAGACCAGATTTGTTTTTTTTTCCATGGTGCCAGTCATGTTGCGTGAAGTCAAACGTCAATGAACAGAACATGACGCACAAGAAGTGAACCTCCTTCTTTCTCCGTAGGACTGTACATGCTATGTTTAGACCTGAGAATCCCATTTGGGCCTCAGCGCATGTTCCAGCACACAATTGTATTTATTATCCCGTATTGGTTTTCCTCTCTTGGCCCCAGCTACAGGCTTCATACAGTTGCACTGTAACCAGGTCTGTTTTGGAACAGGTGATTATGAGAAGGAGAAGCCACAAGTGCTGCTGGATCGTAGTAATATCGGTGACGGGGTCATTGGGTTTAGACAGACTGTGACGCTGCAGATCTTTGCTTTCTACATCAACATGAAGGTAAAGATGATTTTCACTGAGCTCAATAATTTAGAGCAACAGTGTCGAATAATTTTTTGTTGCAGGCCACATAGCGTAGTTATGGTTTCCCTCAGAGAACCGTTACTGTGGAGCCATGTAAATGTACAATCGCCTCATCATATTATTACGTATGCACAACAAATTGATGGCTAACTAGTTTTGAAGTTGTTCATCCAAAAAATGCC